TATATGTATGTACATACATGTGTATATTGCAGAATGGCAAGGAACAGAAAGTGAATGAAGAAATAACCAAATTATTTCCAAATTTGATTAAAAACTGAAGCACACAGACTCATGAAGTTCAGTGAACCTCAAGGAAAATAAATATGAAGAAAACCACAGCAGGTTATGTCATTTTCAAATAGCTAAATGGCAGTGGTAGAGAATCCTAAAAAGATCCAGAGATAAAAGAACAGTATTCAAAGAGGAAAAATATAGGATTAACAGTATAGTTCTCATCAGATATAGTGAAAATCAGACAGTAAAATGGTCAGAATATTAAATGGGAAATTCCATAAATATACAATTCTCAAGTTTTAAATTTTGTACTGCTCTGAGTAGGATAATGGAATCTTGTGCTATCCTGCTCCTCTCAGGATGTGAATCATCCCTTATAGCCATGTTGTATATGTATGTTACCCACCCGTTAGTAATTTAGCAGTTTCTCAGTTATCAGGTCAATTGTCATGGTAGCACAATACTTGTATTCATGAAACTATTTACTTTATAATGGTGCCAAATTACAAGAGTAGCAATTTCAGAATTCAGATATGCCAAACAGAAGATATGTTTCCTTTAAGGAAAAAGGTGAAAACTCTGGACTTAATAAGGGAAAAAAACAAAATAATATGCTGATGTTGTTAAGATCTAGGGAAAGAATAAGTAGGAAAAAACTATAGTAAATACATAGTTTGATACTATCTAAAGCTTTAGGCATCCACTTGGTATATAGCCACTGTATATATCTATGACAAATAATGAGATTGAATTGGCAACTTAAAAAAATTCCTGCAAAGAAAAACCTAGGCTCAAATAACTCCAACTACTACACTATCAATCACTTAAAGAATAATTAATACCAACTCTTCCAAATAGAAAAAACATTTCCCATTTCATTACACAAAGCTAGTTTTACCCTGATTCCAATTAGAAAATGAAGTGTGATCAAAACATATGGTCAATATTTCAGTTTAAAAAATATTACAATAAAAGACACATTGCCATTAATCTCCCATGAAGTATTCCACCTCACTTCAAAAACACATCCCATCATCATCATTCTTCTCACTTTCTGAGGCAGTTCTGGAAGTCATTTGTTTTTTAGTGTCTTTTGTTTTACTGTCCTGGCTGCCTCACTATCAAAGTTAAATCAATGTCAAATTGTTTAACTTCATAATCATTTTGACTTCAGGGAAGAGCCAGAAGTCACATGGTAACAGAACCACAAAATAAAGTGGGTGAGGGTACACTGTAATGGTTTTAGAAGCCTGCCTTTCAGTTGGATGTCACTCAGGAGCAGTAGTCACTGTATTTTTTTTAGCACACCTTGTAAAGACACTTAGGAAAGAGAAATTCTAGAACTGCTTCATAAAGTGGCAAAAATGATGGTATAAGTGTGTTTAAAGTGTGGAGGAATATTTTAAGGAGATTAATGGCTATGTGCCTTTTACTGTAATTTTTTACTTAAACATTTATTGTATATTTTGATCATACATAATATATCGCAAGAAAACTATATATGTATCATTTATGAATGTGTAAAGAAAATTATCAACAAAATTCTGGAAAACAAATCCAGTAACAAAGATTATTATAAAATACAATCAAGTGGGTATTATTCAAAGGATGCAAGATTGTCACATCAGAATGTCTTTTAATGACATGCATCATATTAATAGAGCACAGGACAAAAATCGTGACCATCTAAATAGGTACATAAAAAGCATCTGAAAAATTTCAATACACTTTTATGACTTAGAATAATTCCATAAACTAAGATTACAAAAAAAACCTTCAACTTGATAAAATCCCACATCATATTGAGAAAAGCTAACATCATATCTAAAGGTTAAAGAGTGAATATTTTCCCCTCAGTTCAAGAAAACAGAAGTTTATAAACTTTTGCCACTTCTATTTGCCACTGGAGGTTCTAGGGAAATTAGGCAATAAAAATAAATAAAATTCTGGAATTCAGAAAGAAAATGAAGTCAAATTATCTCTATTTGCAAATGATACAACATGTATAAAAACCTTAAGAAATCTGATAAACTATTATAAGTAGCAAGTGAGTTCAGCAAAATTGCAGAAAAAAGATGAACACAAAATATCAATTGCAGTTCTATAACTTGTAATGAACATTCTGAAAGTGAAAATAAGTAGACAACTCCACTTATAAAGACATAAAAACACAAAATTGGAAAGCTTCTTCACAGCAAAGAACCAATAGTGTGAAGAGACAGTCTACAGAAAAGAAAAGAAATTTGCCAGCTACTCCTCAGACAGAGATGCAATAGCTAGAATATATAAAGAATATAAAAATATTAGATCCCTAAAAAATAGAAGACCCAACCAAAAAATGGACAACTTAAATGAATACACACTTCTCACAATGAGTACAAATGGCCAATTAATACATGAAAAAAATTTTCAACATTTCTGGCTATTAAAAAATGCAAATTAAAACAACACTGCGATTCCATCTCACTCCAGAAAGTATGGCTATCATCAATAAATTATAACAAATGCTGGTGAGGCAGCAGAAAAAGTGAAATGGTACATTTTTGGTGAGAATGTAAACTAGTACGACCATTATGAAAATCATTAAGGAATTTCCTCAAAAAACTAAAGAAATTCCATTCAACCCAACTATTCCTGCTCTAGGTATCTTCCTGAAATAATTAGACAACAGTGATGCATGCTTATCCATGTTATAGCAACAAAATCATAATAGCTAAATCTTGGAAATGGCCTGGATATCCATCAACAGGTAAAGGAAATGGAGTATTTGTACACAAAAGAGCACTACTTAGCCATAAAGAAAGACAAATTCAAGTCATTTTTAGGCAAATGGATGTACCTTGAGACCATAATGTTAAGTAAAATAAATCAGGCAATAAGCTGAAATGCCACATGGTTTCTGTTATATGAGAAACTCAAAATATAAATACTTTAAAGAACGAAATAAAACATAATATGAAACAGGAATATAGATCTTTACAAATGGAAAGGGGATCTAGAGATGGCGGGGGGAGGGAGGAAAAGGGAAGGGAAAGTAAAAAGTAATATGTTATGTACATATATCATTTCCCCATGATGAATGTAATCATGCATTAATAAAAGTTAAAAATTAATAAGCAATACAATACTTAGGGATAAGTGTAGCAAAAGAACTTTAAGACTTTTGATATAGTTCATATCTAAAATGTCCCCTAAAGCTTCACGTGCTCCAGGGTAAGGCTTTTTGGAGTGCCTGGATCATGGGTGTGTGCTACTGGGTTAAGAGTGTAATAATTGGATTAGTCCACTAATTGGTTTATCAATGTTCTCGGTGTGGATAATGGGAAAGCCTAACCTGGGTGTGGGTGGCACCATCCAATAGGCTTGTGGTTTGGATGGGATAAAAGGGAAAGGAAGACTTGCTGCTGTGTTCTGCCTTCCCTGCCATGGACTGTTTCTCCTCTGCCATGCCACCCTGCCTTGGAGCCAGATTATGGACTGAAACCTCTACACACTGTAAGCTAAAATAAACCTTTCCTTCTTTAACTTGTGGGTGTCAGGTATTTTGTCCCAGCAATGAGAAAATAACTAAGGGACTTATACAGTGAAAACTAAAAATAAAATAGCCTTGAGACAATAAAGCTTGGGGGGTTGTACAGTGCTTGCTTAGCATGTGTGAGGTCCTGAGTTTGGTCCCCAGCACTGCAAAAGAAAGCAAAGCAAAAAAACAAAGAAACAAAAAAATTAAAGAAGCTGTAAGTAGAAAGGGGTCCTATGCTCTTGGATCAGAAGATCTAGTATTAACATTATAATATGGCCCAGATTTTTGTGCATATTCAATGAAATTCCTATAAAAATCTGAGGTGGAATATTTATAGAAATTAACAAAACTATCCTAAGATTAATATGGAAAAGTTAGGGACCAATAATAGGCAAAACAATCTTGGAAAGAGAGGTAGTATGAAGACTCGCTCCTAATTTCAAAACTTACTATAAACCTATGCTATTTAAAACACTGTAGCACTTACTAAAAAACAAAATGAAGGAATAAAACTGAGAGTCTACAATTTATCCTTATATTTAAGATCATTTAATGCTAGAGAAGGGTACCACGTCAATTCAGTGGAGGAAGAAATAGTGTGTTCCACAACTTCTACTGGGACAACTGGATATCCCAATGCACAAGAATGAACTTCTTATCATATAAAATAAGTAAAAATGGATCATAGATCTAAATGTAATAAAATGATAGTACTCTTAGAAGTAAACTTCGTTGTTATGACATGGCTTGGCAATGATTTCTTTCATATGATATCAAAATTATAAGCCAAAAATAGATTAATTAGACTTAAGTTTAAAAACTTGTGCTCCAAATGACTGTTAAGACAGTTAAGAGACCACCCATGGTATGAAAGAAAATGTTTTCAAATAAAATCTCTGATAAGGGACTTGTTTTGAGAATATAAGATTTCTGCAAATCAACAAGACAACCCAATTAAAGAAAGAACTTTTATAAACATTCTCCAAAGATATAAATGGAAAAATGCATATGATAAAATGCTAAAATTTTAGTTGTGAGGGAGATAAACATCAAAACTATAATGGGACACTACTCCTCACCACTTACGATGGTTAAATCCAAGAGATGGACAATAATAAATGTTAACAAGGATGGGGAGAAATTGGAACCCTCATCTGCTGATAATAGGACTGTACATTGGTCGGCTGCTTTAAAAAGCAATAAGGCAGTTCCTCAAAAAGTTAAATGTTGAATTGCCACATTATCTAGATACTCAACTCCTAGGTATATACTCAAAAGAAATGAATACATATTCTACCTAAACTTGTACAAATATATTCATAGTAACATTATTAGTATAGCCAGAAATGAAAAACAATGCAAATATTCATCACCTGAATAAAAATGTACCTTTATAAAATGGGATATTATTAGAAACAAAAAAGAGTGAAGTACTGGCATATGTTAAAACATGGACACATCCTGAAAATACAAAATAAAATTACAATTATTCCACTTATATGAAATATCCAAAGTAGACATTTGCTGAAATTCTTCTTAAATTTTTATTACTACATGCTTGCAATACATATTGATTACATTAATTGTGGGGAATTGGTACATATAAGAAACAGTTTCTATTTGGTTTTGCAAAATTGCTGGGATGTAAGCTGCTGTCATATCACTACGCTAAGGAGAAACTGCCTAAGGGTGATGTCTACACAGGAAAGAGCAGAGCCAAGATATAGAAAAAGATTTATGAAAACATATTTTGAGCATACATATCCATTTGATCATTAAGCAACTGCCAATAGGTAAATTTACTAATTTTCAGCTTAAATTGGGTAACATCATGTGCAATTCAGTAAGTCCAACCTAATATGATTGGTTAAAGCATCAATTATTTCTTTTTTACCTCCATTGTATTTAACACATTGTAAGTATAGGAAAGGTAATTACAGGATTGTATTTAACAATAACAACAATAACAATAGCAATGTCTTATGAATATTTATTCTTTAGTAGAATTATTGGCTAGTAGGAAACACC